AGGAGGAGGAAGAGGAGGAGGGTTGGGGACGGAGGGGGACAAGTGAGAGGGAGGTTGTGGAGGGGAGGAGGAGGGGGAGGAGGAGAAAGACGAGGAGGAGGAGGAAGAGGAGGAAGAGGAGGAGGAGGAGGAAGAGGAGGAGGGTTGGGGACGGAGGGGGACAAGTGAGAGGGAGGTTGTGGAGGGGAGGAGGAGGGGGAGGACAACAATGGCTTAGGGGTCATAGGTGCTCTCTGGACTTGGTTGTTTTCTTGAAAACGTTTCATCACCGAACTAGGTAACAGTGAGGAGGAGGAGGGGGGAGGGAGAGGAGGAGGAGGAGGGTCACCAATTTCCAATGCGTCCTCTTTTTTATTTATTTTTAAATCTATGCCATTGTGAAAGACAGCCACAAGTGCACACACCAAAAAGACACAGCTGCTTTCAAGAGTTGCAGACAGGGGCTAGCTTCCCAGCCCTACGAAGCATTGTGTTGTCTTCAAACTCCGAGCAGTGCATAGCCCTAGAGATATCGGGAGAGGTTTGGAACAAGTGCGCACGCGTCAAGACAGAGCAAGCCAACGCGCAAGTAACTCTTACCGGCTTTCGCTTTCTCCTCTTTGCAACTTTGACGGATTTTCTTCTGGCACACGTACGCCAGGACGATCAGAAGGATGAGAAGACAAATCGACAACCCCACTGTGACCCAAAGAGCTACTGCTGGAAACAGAAGGTGTTGTCCTGGAAGGAGACAGAGATTGTGATTGCCAATGCCCCGGACTGGGATGACCCAAGGAAAACGCCACCACGTGGGTCTGATGTCACACCACACCGCAAAGAGCTGTTGGCTGCCAAGAATTTACTCAGAGCCCAAAGCCCCCTAAGGATGCAGCTAAATGCTTCAATTGCTGCCGTTTCCCAAGACTTCCCAGGAAAAGGCAGGTTGAATTACCCTATAAAACACTTCATTAACCTTTAAATAATTATGCTAATAAATTCAAATAAATGCTGATCTATCACCCTTTGCTCGGAGAAGGAGGAGAAGCTGAGCAAGGAGGCATTCGGCCTAATGGATTCCCTATGTGGTTTTCCATCGACGGGAGATTTTGGATGCTGGCAAGGCGACTTCGTGTCTGCCAACGTTTTACAGCTGAAAGCCTAATGAATAACCCAGGATACAACCAAACCCACAATCTAACCAAATTCAGACTTGACAAAGGGTTGTATCCTCAGATGGGTTGCTGGGTAAATAGCATCCTCTTTGTTATGGGAGAGGGTCTCTTTCATGCAGATTTAAGTCTCTTTTATGCAGACTTAAACATTGGGGGCGTCAGGCACATGCAAACCGAGCCATACGTGTATAGCCTAAGTCACCAACTTTATTGATTTCCATCTATATTACAAGAATCTTCCCACACTGCTTGCCTTCTCTTCGGAACAAGCAAATAAAGTTACGTGGATCTCGGGGAGGAAGTGTATCAGGTTTATGTTTCTTGTGGCTACACAAAGACTCAAGGCTAATTCCCTACTTGACTCCTCCTTCCATTCCGGCTGGCAGTTTTCCAAAGGGGGATTCATCATCTATTTGCATGCACTCCCCCCCCCCCCAAAAAAAAACTTACTAACTGTCCTAGCATTTCTAAACGACTTCAGGATTATTGGATCACAGGCCCCCTGCCTGGTGCAGAATCTTCAGTTCAGAATGTCCATTAAGATGAAGTAAACACTGAGTAACGTTTTCCTTCAGTGGTGAAGTAAAATAATTCCCCTCACTTTTCTTTTCAAATCTCAAAACAAGATTCAGAAGTTCAGGCTCACCGAAAACCCAAATTTGCAGGGTGTAAATGTGACGCATGCGACTAAAATATCTGATTTACAAGGACGAGACGGATCTGGAAAATCACCTAAGTTAAACTAGCGAGAGATTTAAAAAATAAAAAAGAGGGCATATTAAAAATTGGCCACCCTGTGCTGTCAGGCAGTGGTGGGCTTCAAATAATTTAACAACTGGTTCTCTGCCCTAATGATTTCTTCCAACAACCAGTTCACCAAACTACTCAGAAAGTTAACAGCCGGTTTTCCCGAACAGGTGCGAACTGGCTGAATCTCACCACAGCTGTCGGGTCTTTGTTGAAATTCCTCAAATGAAAAAGAGCTTGATTATTTCTGACGTGTTGCCAAGCCGCCGCTGCTTTTTAAGAAGCTGAAATCTGTTCAATTTCTCCTCTTTTGTTCCAAGTTTTAAGACAAGGCTCCAAAGATGGAAGCGAGGACGTTTGATCACAATGGAGATATCTGTTTGGCAGGTACATTTTCTTTGCATTAGTGAAGGAGAACGGTTAACACGGCTGATCTGGCCAAAGATTTGCTCCCATTCAAGGACATTTCAATCCCAGGGGACGGAATGCTGAAGGAGGTTGGTTTTAATGCCAAATTCTGGGAAATTCCTTGTCACCACCACCTACAGGTACCCCTCGACTTAAATGTTTCATTTCATGACTGCTCGGAGTTACCATGGCAAGTGTTTTCCGAAAGTTTTTCATACTTAGCGACCATTGCAGTATCCCTGTGATCAAAATTCAGATGCTTGGCAACTGACTCACACGGTCAAGCCCTTGTTAGAGTCGGACTCTGAGTTAGAGGAGGAGCTGCCGACAGGGAGTGGAGGAGTGGCTCCGGAGGTTGTGGAGGAGGCTGGGGAAGGGCAGAGGCCGGCTGGGCAGTCAGAGGAAGAACCAGGCCCATCCCTTCTTCATCCTAGGACACTCAGGGAGGAACAGAGAAGGAAACAATTTGGCTTACGAGAGAGGAAGCGGCCATGATCCCCCTCATTGGTTGCAACTGGGGAGAATAATATATAAGAGAGACGGTTAAAACACAGAGTTGTTAGAAGCAAAGTGTCTTTTATTTTGGTCTGAAGTTATCTTAGTTGGCGGCCTTCCAACAGACTGTGCCTTGTTATCTCCTTGAAGTTGGTAATTACTTATCCTGCTCCATTGTGGAAATTTCTTCATTGTAGTTTTTTTGGTTTTTTATTTCACCGTTGTCTGCTCATTAAGTTCGGACTGTACTGCTTTTTTTTGAAGACTATTTTTGAGTAAGTTTTATCTCCAACTGAGAATTATTGAACAGTGGGGCCAAGTTGGAGGCATTAAAGGACATTTATTTATGTTTTGGATTTTGTTACGTTTGTGCTACACTCCGGGTCATCACACATACTTATGACCATTGCAGTGTCACGTGATCCCCTTTTGCAACCTTCTGACCAGCCAAGTTGATGTGGGAAGCCAGATTCACTTAACCACGGTGTGACTCACTTAGGAACCACAGGGATTCACTTAACAACTGTGGGAAGAAAGGTCATAAAATGGACAAAACTCACGTCACTACTGTCTTGCTTAGCAAGAGAAATTTGGGGCTCAATTGTGTTTGTAAGTTGAGCATTATCTGTATATTCCGGTTGTACCAATGGGTTACAATGGTGATCCCCAATTTTTCCAGCCCTGTGGACCAATGGGGGTGGTGACAGCAACAGCGCAGAGAGGAGACAATTCCATTTAAGTGGCAGGTGCTTGCACGCGTGTGTGAAATGCCATTTGAACAAATGGAGCTTCGAACGTGAGCACAAGCACCCAACACTCACATAAACACAGTTTCGCACTCCCGTGTGAAACTCCATTTGAACAAATGGAGCTTCGCATATGAACGCAAGCCCCCACCACTTGTGTAAATGGATTTCACACGTTCATCTGTCAGCCAATCAGATGAGGAGGAGGAGGCGTTGGAGTCAGGGTCAGCATCAAGGCAACCTGGGAACTCTGAGGGGGAAGAGGGAATAGCGCTGTCAGAGATAGAGATGAAGGCGGAGCCTGGGCTGTCCATCAGCCCTCAGACGGAAAGTCAATAGTCCCCAGGTCTGGATGTGGCTGATGAGGAAGAGGAGGAACAGCTGGGTCCAGTGCCTGACGCGCGGATGTGCAGAAGGCAGAGGAGAGGAGAGCAGTGGAAATCTATGGGCAGGTCC